TGTGGGTTGAGACATGCGCTTTGATCCATCAATCTTGTCTTGCCAGGTCTGGTGAGTGTGTTGATGTTTCACCTCCTCCTATGTGACACATTAACAATTGCCCTGAGACATTGCTTACATTCCTTTCTGGAAGTTTGTGCAGCCTTTCCTGCAGACGCTCATTCAGTCTGGATTCTTAAGTGATCTGCAGAACCAGCATTTATTATTTTAAATAAATACCACTTCAAACAGGCTGCACGTCCTCCATCCTAGGCACGTGGTGCAGCATCAGATGCAGTGCCTGCTGGACAAGATCACAATTAGTAACGGCTCTACTCACGTGGAAGAAAAATATATTTCAAATATATTTTAAAAATACATTTTTTAATATATTCTTCACAAATATATTAACATATATTTCAGATACTACAATTTTGGCCATATTCAATGTATTTCAATATAGTTATGAATATATTTGGGAAAATATATTTCAAAGTGTATTTTGGAATGCATTTACAAATATATGTAAAAACAGATGTTGAAATGACTTTTTTTATCTGTTTTTTTAATATTATTATTATAATACAGTATTTTTACATATATTTGTACATGCATTCCAAAATACACTTTGAAATATATTTTCCCAAATATATTCACAACTATATTGTGGAAAATATATTTTTAAAAATACATTTAAATTACGTTTTTGGAAATGCATTTACAAGTATATTTAAAAATCTATGTTTAAATGCATTTTTTTTTAAATGTTCAAAAATATCTGAAAAATATATTTTAAAAAATATATTTTTAAATACATGCCTTTTGGAAAATATATTTTAATTTACATTTTTGGAATGCATGTTAAAATATATTCGCGTAGGCCAATATATTGTAAATATATGTCGCATGTATAATTTTTTTTTCTAAATATATTGGAAATATATTTCTCTTGGTTGGAAAGCAACTTGAGGAGGGGCGTTGGTTCTGTTTGGGATTATGGGCAGTTGGTGCTGTAGAGCTGGATCCAGGCAGAAGCAGACATGAACTTTCGAGGGGAGGTTAGAATATATTTTTTGGAGCTGAGGAGCGGTGTAAATATTTATACATTAGAGCTAATGTAAATTATCGGGATTGACGGATTCTTGGCCGCACGCTTTACAAGTGCAGTCAAATGAATTCCACAACGTTTTCCATACTAGAGTCTGTTCGTAGCCAAATATCTGTCTGGTTCCCATAAAAGTAAACCCCGTGTTGATGTTAGCAGATTAAAGCGGAACATAAGCAGTTAGAAACTGTCTCTTTATGCAGAACAGTCCATCCCTTTGGAGAGAAAAAATTTATCTAAAATTATCTCTGTTTACCCACGTGGAAGAAAAATATATTTAAAAAATATTATTCCTAAATATATTGACATATATTTGAAATGCTACAATTTTGGCCCTATTCAATATATTTAAAAAATATATTTAAAAAAATATATATAAAGTGTATGTTGAGATGTGTTTTTTATATATTAAAAAATATATGAAGAATATTTTTATAAATATATGGCTTTGAAAATACATTTAATCTACATTTCTGGAATGCATTTACAAGCAGTAAAAATTACTTTGTTATATGTAAAAAAAAAAAAGCTGAAGAATGTATTTTTAAAAAATATATTTTTAACTATATGCCTTTAGAAAATATATTCAACCATTTCAATACCGGGCAATTTTCCCCCTTCCTGCCCAGGCCAGTTTTCAGGTTTCAGCGCTCTCACACTTTGAATGACAATTGCGCGCGGTCATACAACATTGTACCCAAACTAAAATTTTATCATTTTCTTCACACAACTAGAGCTTTCTTTTGGTGGTCTTTAATCACCGCTGGGGTTTTTATTTTTTGCAAAATTAACAAAAAAAGACCAAAAATTTTGAAAGAAACACGTTTTTTTCTTTGTTTCTGTTATAAAAGTTTACAAATAAATAATTGTTCTTCATAAATTTAGGCCGAGATGTATTCTGCTACATGTCTTTGGTGAAAATAACCCAAATTAGGATGTATTTTTTAGTTTGTAAGAAAGTTATAGAGTTCACAAACTATGGTATAGATCTGAATATTGATCAATCCTGAAGTACTGACAGCCAATCTAATTTCTTGAGGTCCAAGAATGTCAGAATAGTACAGATATCCCCCCAATGTCAGAACAGTACAGATATCCCCAAATGTCAGAACAGTACAGATATCCCCCCAATGTCAGAACAGTACAGATATCCCCCAAATGTCAGAACAGTACAGATATCCCCCGAATGTCAGGACGGTACAGATATCCCCCAAATGTCAGGACAGTACAGATATCCCCCAAATGTCAGGACAGTACAGATATCCCCCAAATGTCAGAACAGTACAGATATCCCCCAAATGTCAGAACAGTACAAATATCCCCCAAATGACCCCTTTTTGCAGAGTAGACAGTCCGACGTACTTCATAAGAGGCATGGCGAGTTTTTTGAAGTTGTATTTTTTTTGTCATAATTTTTCGGAAAATGAAAAAATTTAAAAAATTAGTTTCACAATTTTTTTTTTACATATTGTCACCAGTGCAGTACAGCGTCATCATATAACTGGCATGACAGTGATCAGGGACACTGACTGGTGACAGTATGAAAAAAAAGTATATATATATATTTTTTTTATTATTATTTTTTATTTTTTATTAAAAATGTTTTTCTTTTTTTTTTAAGATTTTTTTTCATATTTCACTATGACCAAAGTAGTACAATGTTACCATAGTAACATTGTACTACTTTGGGGAAGTGATCAGTATTTTTTTTTTTTACACAATTTGCTTATAGTAAAGAATTACTTTGCTATAAGCAAGCATTTACCTGAATGACATCGATTCATTCAGGGGTTTTTTTTTTTTTTTTTTGTGCTTAGCTGTGATTTGGCCACAGCTAATCACATGACATGTGCATGTGACCTGCTGTGACCATTCACAGCTAGACACTAGTATACAATGGATGGCATGAATGAAGCCATCCATTGTATACAACTGTCATGTGACCTGCTGTGATTGGTCACAGCAGGTCACATGGTACAGGCAACGGGGGCCGATACTCAGATCTGTCTTCGGCCGTGTCCGAGGTACACGGCCGGTGACAGATTGCGCCGCTGCGCGGCTCTGCAGGAGTGCAATCTGCGCATGTGCGGGAGGAAGCCATATGGCGTTCACCCGGAACACTGATGACATTTGCCGGCTGCCATTCGGCCATAGGGCGGGTGGCAAATGGTTAAATGAAAAATTTTTAAGAGTGACTTTTTTTATATGTTAAAAATAAGCTGAAGAATATATTTTTAAATATATGCCTTTAGAAAATATATTTAAATTTAGGTTTTTTGGAATACATGTTAAAATATATTAGTGTAGGCCAATATATTGTAAATATATGTCACATATAATTTTTTTTCTAAATATGTGGGAAATATATTTCTCTTCAGTGTGGGTATCTGTAGTCTATGGATAAAAAAAAGGCCCAATGAAATTATTATTATTTATTATTACAATTATTATTGCAAGATTGAATCTTCTGTGCATGTGTGCTCCTACTCTTCATAGTCGTTGCAATTATTTTCATACAGATTCAGAGATTGCACATTGGAACATGTTGCGATGCAGAAGCCGATTTCATGATACGAAAGTGTTTTTTAAGTGATATAAAAGTAGATGGTGAATTTGACTTTTCACTTTTGGTATTTAATTTGCAGCTTCTACAAAACCTTCCAAAACTCACCAAGCTAGTCTCAAAATCTTGGTCCTTCTCATTCAAACCCAAGCCAGTCATCACTCACCATTGTGATGGACTCCGAACAACCCGACTGGGTACCCACATGGAAGAGAAATATATTTTCCAATATATTTAGAAAAACAAATGATATATGTGACATATATTTACAATATATTGGCCTACGCTAATATATTTTAACACGTATTCTAAAAAATTTTAATTTAAAAATATTTTCTAAAGGCATATATTTAAAAAAAATTCTTCAGCTTTTTTTTAACATATAAAAAAAAAGTCACTGTTAAAAAATGTAAATATATTTTCTAAAGGCATATACTGTATTTAAAAATATGTTTTTTAAAAATATAGTCTTCAGCTTTTTATTAACATATAAAAAATGTCACTCTTAAAAAAATGTAAATTTAAATATATTTCCTTTGAAATGCTACAATTTTGGCCAGGGGCGGTCTGACAACTCATGGGGCCCCGGGCAATAGGGGATCATGGGGCCCCTGTGTCCTTGCCCAAACTCAAAAAAGCCTATGAAAAAGGTACCAGGGGCATCTCATGGGGCCCCCTACTGACCCCGGGCCCTCGGTCAGTGCCCGAGTTTCCAAATGGTCAGTCCACCCCTGGTCCGGACTGGAAGGGGGTGAAAGTGTCCGGACTGGAAGGGGGTGAAAGTGTCCAGTCTGGGAGGGGGTGAAAGTGTCCGGACTGGAAGGGGAGTGAAAGTGTCTGGACTGAAAGGGGGGGAAAGCATCCGGACTGGAAGGGGGGTGAAAGCGTCTGGACTGGAAGGGAGTGAAAGTCTCCGGACTGGAAGGGGGATGAAAGCGTCCGGACTGGGGGGGGGGGAAAGTGTCCGGACCGGAAGGGGGTGAAAGTGTCCGGACTGGAAGGGGGTGAAAGTGTCCGGACTGGAACGGGGATGAAAGCGTCCGGACTGGAAGGGGGTGAAAGTGTCCAGACCACGGGCGGACTGACAACTCATAAGGCCCCCGGACAATAGGGGATCATGGGGGCCCCTGTGTCCTTGCCCAAACTCAAAAAAGCCTATGAAAAAAGTACCAGGGGCATCTCATGGGGCCCCCTACTGACCCCGGGCCCTCTGGCAGTGCCCGAGTTTCCAAATGGTCAGTCCGCCCCTGGTCTGGACTGGAAGGGGGTGAAAGTGTCCGGACTGGGAGGGGGTGAAAGTGTCTGGACTGAAAGGGGGGGAAAGCATCCGGATTGGAAGGGGGGGTGAAAGCGTCTGGACTGGAAGGGGGGTGAAAGTGTCCGGACCAGGGGCGGACTGACAACTCATGGAGCCCCCAGGCAGTAGGGGATCATGGGGCCCTGTGTCCTTGCCCACACTCAAAGCACACCCAAAAAAAACCTATAAAAAGGTGGCATTTCATGGGGCCCCCTACTGACCGAGTGCTCAAATGGTCAGTCCGCCACTGGTCCAGACTGGAAGGGGGTGAAAGCATCTGGACTGGAAGGGGGATGAAAGTGTCCAGGCTGGCAGGGGGTGAAAGTGTCCGGACTGGAAGGGGGTGAAAGCATCCGGACTGGAAGGGGGGGTGAAAGTGTCTGGACTGGAAGAGGGTGAAAGTGTCCGGACTGGAAGGGAGTGAAAGCGTCCAGACTTGAAGGGGGTGAAAGCGTCCGGACTGGAAGGGGGGTGAAAGCGTCCGGACTGGAAGGGGGGTGAAAGTGTCCGGACTTGAAGTGGTTAATGGGCAACTGAAGGGCAGACTCTTTTTTAAAGACCATGGACTAGCCAAGAGGTGTTTATGTGGTCATGTACCTCATAGGCATAGCTTACCAGAAGAAATAAACTGAGCACAGGAAGTGTCTGAAGAGTAGGAAGGAACAGCAGCCAGGAGCACCAACAAGGTGGACAGTAGAAGCCATGGAGTACAAGATGGAGAGCAGTAAGATGCAATAGAATGGATGATAATGGAAGGTTGCTCAAACAAGAAGCAAACCCAGAAAGCACCCGACTGTGCTCCAGATACACAACTAGGTCATGGTTTATTACAAAACACCTTGACTGATGAACCCACCACTGGTAGCTCCTCGACACATCAGTTCACGAGCTTCTGAATAGATTGGCTTGCGCAATCAATACATCCTAGGTTTGAGGTCGCAGCAGGCTGGCAGTTGTGGTCTTTGGAGGTGGTAAATTCAGGTAGGCCCAGAGCAAAAAAAAAACAAAGTGAAGGGTCTGCATGACTGGGTGAAGAGGGGAGACATGGATGGAAGGATTTAAGGCATGGTTTGTATGTTGCATTCACTGAGTGGTAGAAGCATGGCTTCAGGTGGGGCTTCGGCGAGGCCAGGAAGAGGTGTACAGATGGCCACCTGAGTCAGTGGTCATCAAATGGAGAAAAAAACTGGCCACCCACCCTCCCTGTTTTCGGTATGGATCCTAGGTTTGAGTTCGCAGCAGCTTGGCATTTGTGGTCTTTGGAGGTGGTAAGTTCAGGCAGGTCCGAAGCAAAAAAAAAAAAAAACAAAGCAAAGGGTTTGCATGATTGGGTGAAGAGGGAAGACATGGGTGGAAGGAGTTAAGGCATCGTTTGTATGTTGCATTCACTGATTGGTGAAAGCATGGGTAAGGATGGGACTTCGGTGAGGTCAGGAAGAGGTGAAGAGATGGCCACCTCAGCCAATGGCCATCGATTGGAGAAAAAACTGGCCACCCACCCTCCCTGTTTTCGGTATGGATCGTAGGTTTGAGGTCTTAGCAGCCTGGTGGTTGTGGTTTTTTTGGAGGTGGTAAAAATCAGTGATAATCTAATAGCTATGGATCCAGCATGGCATCCTTGGATGCATTCCAGCTAATGGCAGGTTAACTGGAAACTGGGAACATCGAGGCCTCTGCTGATAGTTGGGATATAGTCCCTGAGCTGGTGTGATGCAGATGGGGGCCTATTAAAAGTAAGGGGTTCCAAAGATACAAAATAATGGGATTTAGGTTTAGTGCCTTCAAAGATCTGTAAACTTAATACAGTGAAGGAAATGCGTATTTGATCCCCTGCTGATCAATGTTGAATGTTCGCCCCTCACAAAGAAATGATCGGTCTAAAAATCGAATGTTCGGTATATTGTAACACTGAGAGACAGAATAGCAACATCAAATTCAGCAGAAATGCGTCTAACAAATGATGACTGATCTGCATGTTCATGAGGGAAATAAGGATTTGATCCCCTTCACAAAACATGACTTAGTACTTGGTGGCAAATCCCTTGTTGGCAATCACAGAGGTCAGACGTTTCCTGGAGTTGGCCCCCAGGTTTTCACACATCTCAGAAGGGATTTTGGCCCACTCCTCTTGGCAGATCCTCCCGAAGTCATTACGGTTTGGTGGCTGACGTTTGGCAACTCGAACTTTCAGCTCCCTCCACAGATTTTCAATCGGATTAAGGTCTGGAGACTGGCTAGGCCACTCCAGGACCTTAATGTGCTTCTTCTTGAGCCGCTCCTTTGTTGCCTTGGCCCGTGTGTTTTGGGTCATTGTCATGCTGGAACACCCATCCACGACCCATTTTCAATGTCCAGGCTGAGGGAAGAAGCTTTTCACCCAAGATTTGATGGTACATTGCCCCCTCCATCGTTTCTTTGATGCGGTGCAGTTGTCCTGTCCCCTTAGCAGAAAAACACCCCCAAAGCAGAGTGTTTCCACCACCATGTTTCACAGTTGGGTTGGTGTTCTTGGGGTCATAAGCAACATTCCTCCTCCTCCAAACACCGCGTGTTGAGTTGATGCCAAAGAGCTCAATTCTGACCACAACATTTTTCAACCAGTCCTCCTCTGTATCATTCAGATGTTCAGTGGCAAACTTCAGACGGGCCTGGACATGTGATTTCTTGAGCAGAGGGACCTTGCGGGCACTACTTTCAATCCTTGTCGGCGTAGTGTGTTACCAATTGTTTTCTTGGTGACTGTGGTCCCAGCTGCCTGGAGATCATTGACAAGATCCTCACGTGTAGTTCTGGGATGATTCCTCACTGTTCTCATGATCATTGACACTCCACGAGGTGAGATCTTGCATGGTGCACCAGACCTAGGGAGACTGACACTTGTTTTGTGTTTCTTCCATTTGTGAATGATTGCACCAACTGTTGTCACCTTCTCTCCAAGCTGCTTGGCCATAGTTTGGTAGCTCAGTCCAGCCTTGTATAGGTCTACAATCTTGTCCCTGACATCCTTGGACAGCTCTTTGGTCTTTGCCATGGTGGAGAGTTTGGAATCTCATGGTTTGATTGCTTCTGTGGACAGGTGTCTTTTATACAGATAACAATGAGATTAGCAGCACTCCCTTTAAGAGACTGCTTCTAATCTCAGCTTGTTACCTGTATGAAAGACACCTGGTAGCCAGAAATCCTGCTGAATGATAGGGGATCAAATCCTTATTTCCCTCATGAACATGCAAATCAGTCATCATTCGTTAGGCCAAAATCCCTCCTGAGATGTGTGCAAACCTGGGGGCCAACTCCAGGAAACGTCTGACCTCTGTGATTGCCAACAAGGGATTTGCCACCAAGTACTAAGTCATGTTTTGTGAAGGGGATCAAATCCTTATTTCCCTCATGAACATGCAGATCAGTCATCATTTGTTAGACATGCATTTCTGCTGAATTTGTTGTTGTTATTCTGTCTCTCAGTGTTACAATAAACTGAACATTCGATTTTTAGACCGATCATTTCTGTGTGAGGGACAAACATTCAACATCAGCAGGGGAGCAAACACGCATTTCCTTCACTGTATTAAGGTTACAGATCTTTGAAGGCACTAAACCTAAATCTCATTATTTTGTATCTTTGATCCCCATAAATGTTTTATGTCAATAAAAGTCTGCTATGGCCATTTTGTATCCAGACTCTTGCATGGTCTGGTTTTTGGTGGATAGATTAAAAGACTGGGTTTGGGATGGCATAGCAGGTATTCGGAATGGGGACATCTGTTCTACCCGAGAGCCAGCTAGCAGTACATAGTCACTTTCACCTTGGGGTGAACTTGATGGACTTGTTTCTTTTTTCAACCAGACTATCTACGTAACTGATCTCGAAATGCAGAAAATATTTCACCACTCATCTAAGGAGCTTCATCAGTCTGAATGAGTGTTAGGACCATACTCCATCACGTATGTTCGCACAAGCATCTCTGCCTCCAGAAATGTGTGAAGGTGCTGTAGATGCTAATGGTCCAAGAAGAGATCGGAGGTGTGAAATTTGTGAAAACCGCGTCCCAGATAACATATTCTAATCATCCCATGCCATGAAGTCTGTGTTAGGTGTTAATTGATTGAGTAGAACAGGCTGAGGATATAAAATGTTGTCAAATCACCATTTTTTGGGTAGTGATGTAGAAAACAGCAGGATATGTGTTTTAAGGATGGTTTATCTCAGTTTGAAATGAGTGGGTTTTCCATTCATTATTAGCTTGCCCGTTCTCAAGGGACCCGTGGCCCGTCCTACTACACCTGAACCCCCCCGGGGCCTTACTAAACACCAATTTAGGCTGGTTACATACGTACTATTGGCGGCCAAACAAACCATAGTGAGAACTTGGAAGCAACAATTCATATCCATTACGGAAGTCCATTATAGATTTCTTTCTTGTTACTGAAAAACCCATGGTCCCATAGTGACAGCTGTCTAAAAGGGGATTTTTCTCCATGTGGAGAGATTTCCAGTCACTTCCTGTTTTGTTAAGTATAAAGAAATCTCTTGCTTGGGATACAAATCCCTGACACAGATTTTATTATTGCTTGTCTATGTGACGGGAGTGACTTTGGGTGGGGAGCCCATGGAACACAGCTCACTTTGGAGGGGTGGGGAGACCCCTGTCTCAGCTCCCCATATCCCTCCTATGTGTAAGTCACCCTGTGCCTGTTAGGGTACAGGGTGGAATGTCCTGATATTGTGTAGACATGTATAGGTGGGGGGGTTGTTCATTGTTTACTGCCATGTGGTGCATCCCATTGTTCTATTGTGTGTCTTGCTTGGGAGCAAACTATTATGGTATGTATGTGTGTTTGTGTATTGGCTTGGTGGGGGGTGTTTGCTGATGTGTCTCTGGTTGCTAGATTTGGTTTGCCCCACCCTGTGTACATATGCAGGGAGGTGGGTTGTTCCCTTGATTGTTTATATCTTGTGTCTGTGTTAAAATAAAGCAGTCTATTTCCAGGTTTCCTCCAAGACTGGTCTTGTCTAGTCTCGTATGGCCAGCGACAGTGTCCCTGGATCTGTGTTCAGACAGGGAAGCATGTGTTTGTGTATTGGCTTGGTGGGGGGTGTCTGCTGATGTGTAGCTAGATTTGGTTTGCCCCACCCTATGTCCATATGTCCATATTTCTAATGGAAATGTGTAACGGAAGTGCAGTCAGGGTCCAGTTCCGTTACACTTGTCCTACAAAAAAAAAAAAAAAAAAATTGACTTTAGATATACTTGAAAGTGTATTTTCAGACATTACCCAAGTTTACACCAGAACCTCGCACTCTAGACCACGCCCCCAAAATTATTTTTGTTTTCTATTTCTTTTTACCTGTTGCGAAAAAAAAATCAGCTTTTATCACTCCCTGAAACATCATGAGGTTTGAAAAATTCTTGCAGGAGCTCAGTTCCTATTAACGTAGGTATGCTACCCAGAACTACACCTCCCAAGAGCCCTTTCCCTATACAGTGTGTGGGCACGTTCTGGGGGGGTCAAGGCAGCAGA